TGTTGGAATCACCTTATGGCTTATACAGAGATGCCACCCAAAATCACAATGATTTTAGGTAATGCCTACATTGACTAATTGAGCTCTTCCTTTCTTGGCTTGGGATGGGAATCCCTTAGTTATTAATCTCTCAATTTCTTTTCTTAAGATGTAACATTTCTCTGTATCGTGTCCTTTATCATTATAGAACAAAACAGTAATTCTTGGATGCATGTGTTTACTCTAGACCAACTCAGCATTGATCTTAACTTATGACCAAGCACAATTATATTGGATCTAGTAGATTGTCAAACCCATGTTATCATGGGTTAAGCACATGCCTAAGCCTAAGTATATTGTGTATGATAGTTTCGTCAAACCTATATTTGCTTGGGTTGTTAACTTGTTATGACTTTAGATTTTTAATTTTTTTCAAAACCTTTAAAATACTAAGTCAAAAACACTGACTGACTCATAACTTTCTATACCTTTCTTTAGTTATATTCAAGACAAACTTCCATCTTCATTAAAGATTCACATGAGTTAGTTATATTCAAGACAAAATTCCATCTTCATTAAAGATTCACATGAGTTTTTTACAAGTAATTTCTATTAAATAAAGTGCATAGACCATATAAAATTAAAATCTTTTGTATTTATCATACAAAATAAATCATAAAAAAACTACACAAACAATTTTAAATATACATATAAAAAATATAAATAATTCATATATAAATTTTGATACAGAGATTGTCTTCACTTTCATATATATATATATATATATATATATATGTTTTTATATCCATCCTTATGATATAAAAAATCTCTATGATAAACTAATATTTTATTAGTATATCTTTATATATGTTAACCAAAAAATGTCGGATTAAGAAAAACATTCATGCATAATTTTTCTAAATTCTCGGTTGGTTAGGCTAACATGCGCCCATCACAAACACCCTCTAGTGGAGGCGCAATTGGTATGACCAAAGCTTAACCTAGTCATAGGTAGGCTTGACAATGTATTAAGCCCAGGCGCAGTGGGTCTGACATTGGCCAAGCCTGAGTATTGTTAAGCTAGTCAGTGCCAGACCCATATATTACTGAGTCTGATGCTAGCCAAACCCAATTGCTTTATAGGTCTGGCCAGTGCAAGACCTAAGTTAGAGGCTGATACTGTCAGACTCAATGTTTAAGTGTGGCAGATGGCTCTAAACCCAACTTTTAGGTTTGAGAGGTGTTGCCAAGCCCAGTAGTGTGGCGTAATGAGCTACCAAATCAACAAGGTGGGCTTGACGCGTGTTTCTTGAAATTGTTGAACTCGAGGATTTTTTTCATCACAACTTGGATATGGTCGTATTCGCTACATCCATGAATTCAAACATAATACATGAATTTAATGTTGTAAATTCTATAGATTTTTATATTAAATTTTAGAGGGTTTATGTATCAACAAATAGGCTTAATTAAACAAGTCTACACTTCATCAACACCATTAGATATATTAAAGTCTTTCATGACTCGCAATATCTCCATCTTTTAGTCGGATAAAATAAATGGAATATAACCTATAATACAATTCAAAATATCACAAAGATGAATTGCACTTCAGTTTCTCATCTTTAGCTGGCGACGACGAAAGAGGAGACACATTTTTATAAAATGACAAGATTCATGAGTTATAAATATACTATGAGACCTTCATGAAGGTCATGTGGCAATTATGTTAGCCAAAAGAGACACTCGGAAACACACCTATAAACTAGAGCTGCGGTAAGGATATAGAGAGAGACTGGCAGTCAATTCCTTTCCCTCCCAACATTTCCCATTGCATGACACGCCTTTCGACGCCTCATTGCTCGCTTGCCTCCTATAATGTGCCTTGTCTCTCTGTTTAGTTACCCGCTTCGATGTTTTTATGGTGGCCCTGTTTGAAGGTTATTGACGGGATTGCCATGGTTAACTTCATAAGAGAGAGAGAGAGAGAGAGAGAGAGTAATCACTGTGGTTCTGAAGAATAGGGCTTCTAATAAATAAAAAACGCACATGGATTTGTACAAGTGATTTCACTAAATACACAGGAGCTTCTGCGTTCAAATCTCACCTGCTTTGTGTGGCATGCATGCAGCTTCATCCTAAAAAAAAAAAAAATGAACATGCCAACAATCCGATTGATGTGTTCGATATTGAGTCAATAGAATAGAACCTCACAAGAATAATTGTTAATATCGTGTGGTATAGAAGAATAGAAAGAGAGATCATCAAGGAGATTAGAAACCTAACCTCCGAGGAATAAATATGAAAGATTAAAATATAGCCTTTGGACAGAATGGGGTAAATGCTAACTAGCGCTCCTTGATATTCAGACGAGGATGTTAATTTAAGCAAGCCACGATTATAAAACAAGGGTATCATATCAGATTATCAGTCTGTATCACCTTACCCATCAAACTGATCACGTAAATTAGTCTCCTTACCAAGGAAGTAGAAACCAGAAGATATTGGAAGTTTACGACAAAATGAAATGACCAGTCACATATGAAAGCAGACAACTTGTATTGTAAACCATATTATTATTAAAGCATAAAACAGTTTTAGGAGTAGTTGGGAACTCGGTTAAAAAAAAAAATTGATTTATTAATATTAAAAATAAATTTTAAAATGATTTATTAATATTAAAAAATAAAAAATATTAAATAAAAAACATTTTAAAAAATAATTGCTATCACCACAAATTTACTAAACTTTCTTTTTTATAAGAAACAAATGTACTATATTTCTCTTTTAGACACATGGAAGGAAACTACACTAGATCAAAATGAGATGCTTCATTCAATCGACCATGTTTCTTGATCGTAACAATCTGTCGCTATTCGGCAAGCATTAATATCTTAAAATTATAGAAATAAGCACAACAAATTGCGTTTGGAACAGAAAAGAAAGCGTGCCTACTCACTGAGGCATGGCATCGAACAGCTGGTAAACACACTCATTGTTGCTTTTTCAGCCGCAACAAATTTCCTTTAGCTTATTAGCAGTTGATTCATCGACCGAATACTGCACCAAATAAATGTACCTCCGTCAAAAAAGATCTCTTTAGATTGATCATAACACACATATATAGACAAGCATTAGAATCATACAAAAAAGAAGACCTTGTTGAGAACCCATAGGGAGTGGTTACAAATACTTAGTTAAACATCAGAGAGTCCTTACCTTATCAAAAAAGATTTTTAATAGGTACTAACCTTAGGTCACCTTAACATATCAAGCATAGAGTATAAACTATTAATTATCTTGTTAGAATGAATGAATAAAATTGTCAGAACCAATTGATTAATCAGTTATCCAATTTCAAAACCTTATTCCTATACTACTTAGATTTTTAAAACTCGATCACTCTCTATTTATACCTAATAAAACTTCATGATGGTGCATATAGAAATCATCTAAAGATGTAATAAAAAAAAATAAGAATAATTTAAAAATAAAGATGATATAAGCTAAAACGCTTAAGCATAGACTATCTTTATATTTTTATCCCAAAAAAACAATCCTAAAACTAGTAAAAATTTCATTAAATTTATAAATTTACTAGATTAATTTATATTTTTATATATAAAGTCAATTTGATATTGTAGTTATAGTTATTTTTAAAATATTTTTTATTTAAAAATATATTAAAATAATATTTTTTATTTTTATAAAATATTTTTTAATATTAATATATTATAACAATCTTAAAACAATAAAAAAATTAATTATTAAAAAAAAACTTTTCAACCATAAAAACAGCCACAACAGACGGAGCAGTCGCAACAGACAGCGCGTGAAAAGTCCCCTCGAAGCCCACCAAGTTATCCGGTTGATAGGGATGCATATTCCACTTTCCGGAGCTTCTGCTAGCTGGCGACGACGAAAGAGGAGACACATGAAGGCCATGTGGCAATTATGTTAGCCAAAAGAGACACTCGGAAACACACCTATAAACTAGAGCTGCGGTAAGGATATAGAGAGAGACTGGCAGTCAATTCCTTTCCCTCCCAACATTTCCCATTGCATGACACGCCTTTCGACGCCTCGTTGCTCGCTTGCCTCCTATAATGTGCCTTGTCTCTCTGTTTAGTTACCCGCTTCGATGTTTTTATGGTGGCCCTGTTTGAAGGTTATTGACGGGATTGCCATGGTTAACTTCATAAGAGAGAGAGAGAGAGAGAGAGAGAGTAATCACTGTGGTTCTGAAGAATAGGGCTTCTAATAAATAAAAAACGCACATGGATTTGTACAAGTGATTTCACTAAATACACAGGAGCTTCTGCGTTCAAATCTCACCTGCTTTGTGTGGCATGCATGCAGCTTCATCCTAAAAAAAAAAAAAATGAACATGCCAACAATCCGATTGATGTGTTCGATATTGAGTCAATAGAATAGAACCTCACAAGAATAATTGTTAATATCGTGTGGTATAGAAGAATAGAAAGAGAGATCATCAAGGAGATTAGAAACCTAACCTCCGAGGAATAAATATGAAAGATTAAAATATAGCCTTTGGACAGAATGGGGTAAATGCTAACTAGCGCTCCTTGATATTCAGACGAGGATGTTAATTTAAGCAAGCCACGATTATAAAACAAGGGTATCATATCAGATTATCAGTCTGTATCACCTTACCCATCAAACTGATCACGTAAATTAGTCTCCTTACCAAGGAAGTAGAAACCAGAAGATATTGGAAGTTTACGACAAAATGAAATGACCAGTCACATATGAAAGCAGACAACTTGTATTGTAAACCATATTATTATTAAAGCATAAAACAGTTTTAGGAGTAGTTGGGAACTCGGTTAAAAAAAAAAATTGATTTATTAATATTAAAAATAAATTTTAAAAAATAAAAAATATTAAATAAAAAACATTTTAAAAAATAATTGCTATCACCACAAATTTACTAAACTTTCTTTTTTATAAGAAACAAATGTACTATATTTCTCTTTTAGACACATGGAAGGAAACTACACTAGATCAAAATGAGATGCTTCATTCGATCGACCATGTTTCTTGATCGTAACAATCTGTCGCTATTCGGCAAGCATTAATATCTTAAAATTATAGAAATAAGCACAACAAATTGCGTTTGGAACAGAAAAGAAAGCGTGCCTACTCACTGAGGCATGGCATCGAACAGCTGGTAAACACACTCATTGTTGCTTTTTCAGCCGCAACAAATTTCCTTTAGCTTATTAGCAGTTGATTCATCGACCGAATACTGCACCAAATAAATGTACCTCCGTCAAAAAAGATCTCTTTAGATTGATCATAACACACATATATAGACAAGCATTAGAATCATACAAAAAAGAAGACCTTGTTGAGAACCCATAGGGAGTGGTTATATGCTCGAAGGAAAAGCTCGTCGAGGAATTGTGTGTCACTGACTTCGACATCTCTGTAGTTGACGAAGTTTTCGCGTGCGTATTTAGCGTAATAAGGCCTTGAGTCCTTTGGTAGCCGCCTCACTAGCCGAAGAACCTGTCCATACACTCTCAATGCTTTCTGCATCTCTTCGAATCGTTGACTGCAGTTCCTGACTTCCTGCTCTTGAGATGCCGTTTCGCTGCTATGTTGCTAGAAGTTCAGGCCTCTGTATCTCGTTATTGGGCTCTACTCAATTATTGCCGGCCCGGTAATGGACAGGAGTGTGTAGATTTGTAGGTCCAAAAATAATATGATTGGTTTTGGGCTGTAGAGCAACGTTTTGTAAATCACATAGCCTTGCCGTCAGGATCCTCTTTATTTTTTCCACTGGGTAAAACAGCCTGTCCTCGGCTTTACAAAGCAACGGCAGGCCGATCAGTCATTTTGTTTTCTAACAGCCAACCACGACACTAAGAAATGTTACAATCTCCAGACGAGATACATACAAGAAGAGTTCAAGAAAGAAAATGAAAGAAAAATATCATGCCTTTAATGCAACATCAAATCAAACACATTAAAAAACGGCTAGAACCACCAGTTCTCATACGTGGTTTCTTATAATGGCATGCCCATTATCACTCACTCTGTCTTTGAATGTATAGCGCAAGAATCAACCATTCTTCGCAGTTTCCTATCTCCCAAACAGTCGCTGTACAAACTAAAGTAGCCAAACCCAAGACATTTGCCAGGATTATGGACATTTATATATGTGAGCTACCTAACTTGGAGGAGGGGCCAAGCCGGACTCACCGCTCATCTTTGAATTGGCGAGTTCGAAACCTGTTAGTATATTATTATTATTGTGGCAAATACCCCACCTTCATTTTGTATACATGGAACAACTCATCACCCATTTGTTACAAAGTATAAACATATTTTATGGTATAATTGATGCTATTTTTTATGGTTTTTTTATCCTCTTCATGTTGACAAATATTTATTTTGTATAAATGGAACAACTCATCACTTATTTGGTACAAAATATAAACATATTTTATGGCATAATTGATGTTATTTTTTATGGCTTTTTTATCCTCTTCATGTTGACAAATATGCTGGAGAAACTTATCATTGATGCCTATAAAAAAGGTATAATTTTAGAGAGCACAGTTATGAGAGTGTGAGAAGAATAAGAGAGAAGAGAAGAAGAGAGTGGCTGCAATGGCTGCTACTACTACAGCAGCTGCAAGTACAGCAATGAAAGTTGGGAGTTGAGTAGAGATGATATAATCATCTTCTTCTATGTATTTGTATTGTATCCTTTCTCTATCTCTAATAATATAGACCTCTCCTGTGAATGTAGGTGATTTACCGAACCACATTAAATATTGTTTTAGTATGCTTAGCCTCCAATGGACAACTATCAGAACATAACCAGTCAGAACCCCCAATAATTGGTATCAGAGCATTTGGTTTAAAGTGGTCTTTGATTTCTGCTTAAAAATAAAAGTTGTCAAAAGTATGTTTTAACCATATCACTGTGTAGTGGAGAAAGAGACGAGCACACTGGTGAAAATGGTGAAATTTTTGACATGGAACATGGTTGTACGCACCAACACGCGCCGGCGACGAGGCTACCGGCACGTGCCAACACCCCCCACGAGATGCCATAGGTCTTCTTCGCCCAAATGGGCTATAGTGACTCGAATACCTAACGATCTGAGCCATATGACTAACATGGATAAGGATGACATCATCATGATGTAATCGTGGCGCTATATGCACAGTTGGCATGTTATGTCAGCGACCAATCAGCTGACACATCAGCAAACTGGGACCCACCTGCCATGTCATCAGCCCCAAGCTGAGTGGAGCCAGATAAAGTTTGATCCAAGCTGTGAGCCGAGGGATAGGATCCAGTGTGGCTGATCCTACATGCAATCGATTCTGATTTTGAATTTGGGCCGCTCATTAGGCCAGAATTGTTTTGATCAAATCTCAGCTATCTGAAATGTTAATTGGATGATTTTAAACTTATTTCTAACTAATTTGATCATTCTAGATGCAATGCTATGATCCGATTGTTGAAATTTAGGCTGAAAGTGATGGTGGTGAATTAACAAGAGAGATTGTCCAATTAGAAGACATCTAAAGGTCATTATGGTGGTCGATGGAGATGAAGAAGAAAAAGAAGAAGAAGTCACACATGTTTGCCCAATTATGTGTGTTGAACTGCTAAGTGAGAGGAATTTTAATTGCCTCGATGAAAGGTGAAATTGGGACACTCTTGACACCCGATCATGTGGATGATTTGAGGTAGAAAGTGGAAATTAATGAAGACTAATCTTAATGAATCTAAGTACTGGTAGTCTCATCAGATATTGAGAAACCAGGTATAAAACAAAGATATTCTAGATCACTAGTAAAGGAAAGCTGCAACAAAGCTAGCAAATGGTTGTATATACAGAAAGACAGTATGATGGATAAATATGACTTAAAAAGTTCTGTCTAGAAAATTAGGTTGTGATGGATAAATATGGCTTAAAAAGTTCTGTCTAGAAAATTAGGTTTTAAACGGGACTAGTATGACCCCTCCAATCTTTCCTAGGAACTTGCATAGTTGAAAGATTATCCATACGGTACTATTTTCATGTGTAACAATTTATAATAAAACTTTTAAAGACTAGCAGGATGATAGCATAAAAAAACAGTTGGGTTTTGTATGTTCAAAGATTTGATTGAGTGATGGAGAAGCTTACCATTGATGCTTATAAAAGAGGTATAATTTTAAATAGCAAAGTTGTGAGAATGTGAGGAGAATAAAAAAGAAGAGAAGAAGAGAGTTGTTGCAATGGTTGCTGCCATTGCAGCAGCTGCAGGAATGAGAGCTGGGAGTTAAGTAGAGTGGATATAATACTCCTCCTCCATGTATTTGTATTGTATCCTTTTCTATATCTCTAATAATATAAACCTCTCCCGTGGATGTAGGCGATTTGCTGAACCACATTAAATATTGTATCAGTGTGCTTAGCCTCTAATGGACAACTATCAGAACATCACCGGTCAAAATCCCCAATAAAACCAAGTCTTGTCGAGTCAACTCGACCCATTCAATGCAAAGTTGAGAGAGCTGCTAGTTTGAACTCTTGTTGAAGAAATTTAACAAAGTTATACCACCAAATTCAATAAGTGCTGCTATTTACTTATTGCCAACAATTTAGAAAAGATTTCTTTAACTAATTGTAAATATCACTTGTATAAATAGATATACCCTCTAGACTAATAATGATTGGGTCTTTCATAACAAAAGTGCTTTCTTTTATCCCTTTACATGGTATCAAAGCTGATTTAACAATCCATCAAACCTTTTTTTTACTACTTCAATTGTTCTTCTGCATTAAAACTTTTTAGTTGTAAGAGGTGCAACTATTGCAACATTACTTTGGCCTTTTGTAATACTACTTCGCTATTGTTTTAAACAATCCATGTGATCCATCAACGTTTGTCTCTTTGCAATATATATATTTGTTTTTTTACAATATTTACCATCAAATTATTCACCATTTTGTAGGAGCTTGCAACAAAGTTTATCTTTTTGGAACTTTTACAGTGATTTATCTTGCAGACATCCTTCATAAACATGTCTTATTAAAGCTATTATGATATTTTTTTAGCTACTCTTATCACTATAGTAAATGAGTAATCTTCAAGTAGTTAGAAGTATGTAACCAATCCTTATGTTCTTCACTATTTTGATCATCCTTGAATGGTGCTTATCTCTAAACCTCGTAATAGAGACAATTATTCAACCTGTTGTTGAGCTATGACACCTTTTTTAAATATCAAATCCAATCGGGGCTTCGTAGATGATACCATCAAAATACTATATGCGAAAAATGAACTAGATGACTATGTATTGTGCACATGATGCAATGATATGATTCTATCTTGGATCCTCAATTCATTTACACTAGGCCTAGCATATATGATTCCCTTATATATTTTATGACATTATAAGAAATTTGGCAAGACCTTCAAGATCAATTTTCTCAAAGTTATGCTTCTTGTATTTTTTAAATTAAAAGGGACATTACTTATCTTACTTAAGATCACATGATTGTTGTAGCTTGCTATACAAAATTAAAAGGATTATGGGATGAGCTGGGTCCTATAATGACATTATTTGTTCTTGTCGAGTAGGCCATAAGAGACACATATTAATGCAGTTTTTTTATGGGACTCAATGAGTTCTATAGTGCAATTCAAGAAAAAAAATTCTATCAAAGAATTCGTTGCTTGATGTCATAAAGGCCTATTCTTGCATTGTGTAAGAAGAAAAGCAATGAAGTTTTAAATGGTGCACGTGAGATAACATAAATTGCAGTGATGACAGTACGAAAGAATTACCATGCAACATTGAGAGTTCAGAGGGGGTTATTCTTCCTACTCTAACTCATGAAATCGTAAAATATTACATTGTTCTTATTTTGATTAAGATCATCAAGTGCGAGAGAGATATTGGAAATTGAATGGATATCCACCAGAACACCTAAACACAAACCAATCAAAAGTGAAATATTTTTAAAAACAACAACACCATTCATCCCTTGGCTAATAAGTCTTCAACTACTAATATGAAGGAGGTTTTAATTATGCAAGAAATGCAATTAGTTAAACATGAGGACCTAAGACATTAATCATGGGACCTGGAGATATTGATCATAGAGACTAGAGATATTGGTCATGAAGACTCGAAGATAATAATCAGGGAGACCTAGAGAAATTTGGTCATAAGCTTAGAGACTAGTTGTCATCGCTTACACTCCCTTTCATTTACAAGCCATTGGTAATATTGATGGAATAATGAATTGAATATGAAACTGAGTTAGACCGAGCCTTGAAAAGTATTATTCATGAGTAGTAACAAATATTATTTATGAATAGTAAAACCGAGTCATGCATAAAATAATGCTACTATTTATGAATAGTGACATTGAGTTATGCATAGTACTATAATAGTACTTTTATTCATGAATAGTAAAATTGAGTTATGTATCTATAATACTAGCTTGGTTAAAATAAAATAGTATTTTATTAAAAAAATAAAAGATGGAGATTCAAATATTTAGAGATAATCCATGAATTATTTGATCTTAGCACAAACTTCTTTCCTTAGCTTTGGCTATTTTTTTCTTCATAAATTGGTGATGATGATCTCTAATGATCATTTGTTCTATCTTTGTTTTAGTGCATACACTCTCAGTGTCATATTTATTGTTATAATAGTGTGGTCATGAGCTCAAAGAACTTCAGGCAATCATAGATGTACCCCTTTATATTTATTCTAAATGTTATCATTGCGGATTGATGGTATGGTGAAGGTGTATGGAAA